TGGAGGGCGCTTGCGAGGCTTCATTAGCCTGTTCCACATGCCACGTCTACGTCACTGAGCCGTATTTTGATCGATTAGATGAACCAAAAGAGGAGGAGGAGGATATGCTGGATCAGGTATTGTTGGTTTTAATTTGATTTTGTAATTCTCAAAATTCAGTGTGAGGCATACACGGAAGCGCCTGTGCTGTGAGGCTCTCATTTCTATAACTTTTGCAATTCGGCGCTGTTCGGCTGGGGAGGGACATCTTCCTGGTTTCCATAGATCACCATCGATGCCTGGAACTGTAAATTTTTGTGAAGCTAAGCGGAACTTTGTTTAGATATGACAAGAGTCCACAGGTCTGTACAAGATAAGGTCTATGTTAACGAGAGCTAGCAAAAGAAACTAGCGAAAGCGCAAGGTGCCCCTCCAAAGTCCAACAGTCGCATTCCTCCTGTTTCCAAGAAAAAATGACCCTTGAGGTCTCTAGGCAGATAAAGATGCGTCCTGTGTACTACTAATCACCATGCTTCATGCGATCTTACTGCCGAATGATTTTTCAGGCTCCAGCTTTACGACCTAACTCTCGCCTTGGATGTCAGATAATTCTGCGGAAGGATCTTGAAGGGATTACTGTAACACTGCCACCAATTACTCGGAACTTTTATGTGGATGGACATGTACCGCAACCACACTAAAATAGCTCGATTATTTTACTAATAAATACTACCTCACCATTGACGAATCTGGGTACTTTTTTACGTCACATGATCTTGCTAATGAATAGTGTTTATAATTTCCGTGTTATTGTAATCGCTACAGTTACACAGTCAGTTATTCACCTACTGTTATCAGTAGTAGGTGGAGCATGAGAGCTGATGGCATGACCAATGGGTAAGGACGTCTACGACTTCGAGGGGGGAGGGGGACCTAGTCTTTGAAGGTAGCGTAAGCTAACAGAGAAAAATCACAGGTCGAGGAGGCCATGTGAGAAATGATGCAGATTTTGGGACGCTGTTTTCGAACCGTCTTTTCAGGCTCGCGGGAGAATATTCTTGATATGAGCCCATTGTCAATGAAACCCCATTATAACTCGTTCTGCAAAGCTGGAAAACGGATTCGTGATCAACGTGTGAAGATGTATCAGAGGGAATACATCCATCACAGATGTCCACTTCCACCTGGGTTCTTCCCTGGTAGGCTATATACACTCCCTATCTCTGGGACTGAGTAGGCGGGGCATTTGAACATGGCATAGCGAGGATTACTCGTTTGATATTCAAATTTGAGACAACTGTAATATTATTCGGTGTTGGACAAAGACATGATTGCATCTGTCTTAAAGGCAGCGTCCGCGTTCAGCTGAGATTTTCCTCTCCCTTCGTGGTAGTCAGGTCCGCTGAGGCAA